TGTGTGTGTGTGTGTGTGTGTGTGTGTGTGTGTGTGTGTGTGTGTGTGTGTTAGAGGGCTTTGGACTAGCTCATGTATGTTCTATTACTGATACTATGTTGTGCTTGCAGACAGGAGCCTAGCATAGTTGTCCTATGAGAGGCTCTACTAGCAGCTGACTCAGACAGATGCAGATACTTATAGCCAAGCATTGGATTAAGGTCAGGGACTCCTATGGAAAACTTAGGGGAAGGACTGAAGGAACTGAAGAAGATAGAAACCCCATTGGAAGACCAACAGTGTCAGCTAATCTGAACTTCTGGGAGCCCCCAGAGACTAAGCCACCAACCATAGAGGATGTAGTTTATAACTACATCCAGCAAAATTTTGCTGTTCCTGCCACCATGCTTTCTGCCATCTTGATAATGGACTAAGTCTCTGAAACTGTAAGCAAGTCCCTAATTAAATGTTTTCTCTTATAAAAGATGCCATGGTCATGGTGTCACTTCACAGCAACAGAAAGGTGACTAAGACATGACCCAAAAGCAGAAACAAATACTTGCCATGCTTATAAAATCCATGAGTTTGCGCTATAATACTGCCAGGGCAAGAAGACTATTTAAGTCAGGTTTGACTTTTCTTACTTTGCTTTTGCGTGTTCCTCTCTCGAAGCCTCAGGGAGGGAGACCTGAAGGCACAGGAAACTAGACATCAATTCTGACACAAAGAAAATGAAAAATCTAGATAGGGAAATAAAAAAACCTATTCAAGAAATAAATGAAATCAGACCGTAAATATAGCCTAAAAGGTTTATTTATTTATTTGTGTGGTGTGTGTGTGTGTGTGTGTATGTATGTATGTATGTATGGTGTGATTATATGTGTATGTATGTGAGTGTGTGTGTATACATGTCCACAAATGGGCACATTTCATGTGGGTTTGTGGAAGTCAGAGGAAAATCTAGGGTTTCTTCCTTGCCTTCCTCCTTGTTTTGAATCAGGGTCTCTTTGTTGTTTGTTGTTGTGCTACACAGGGCCTTCGAGTTTGCAGGGATTCATCTGTCTCTGCCTCCCACCTAGACATAGGAGCCTTGGGATTACAGACAAGTGCTACCATGCTTGGCTTTCTGTGGGATCTGGGGACTCAAACTCAGGTCCTCAAGCTTGTGCAGCAAGCCATTTACCTACCCACTGAGCCATTTTCTCCAGCCCAGCTTAGTTTGTTTTAAGCCTTTCCCTTACACACCCCTTTCTAATACTTCATTATATATTTTAAGTCAATATCTAGGTATGGTATGTGGGCATTCTATGATTCCAGTACTTGGGAGTCTGAACAGAAGGATGCCTGTGTTATCCTTTGTAGGCCTTTTGAGCATTCTGTACCCAGCTCTGTTCTGTGCCTGACATTGAAATAGTATTCTTGATTTCGTCTAATGCGTCTTCTCTCAAATTCAACCTTGTTTATGGTGATCATGGTCTACTTTTTAGGGACAATGGGATTGCATTTGCTTACTATACCTTTGCCTACCCCTTTACTTACTCACTTTTAATTTTAATTCATTTTTGCATTTATTTAGGAGTCATGACGATAGGAGCATGTCTGTGGAGGTTAGAGGACAACTTGCTGGAGTCAGTTCTCTCCTACTATATGAATCCCAGGGATTGTGCTCAGGTTGCTAGTATTGGGGCAAGTAGATTTATCCACTGAGCTGTCTTGTGGGCACCTACCCTACACAAATTACTTTGTTGTAGCCGAGTCTACTGAATATAATAGAATGTGCTGTGATAAAAATAAATCAGTTTAAACATTTTTTTTAGTAAGTGAGCTTAGCATTTATTGATGCCAGATGTTTGTACTTAGTTACAGTATAGCTTCTATGAGATTTATCTTATTTTAAATTCTGTGTACATGTGGTGATTTGAATAGGAATGGCTCTCATAGACTCATGTGTTTGAATGCTTGGCCCAGGGAGTGGCTTTATTAGTAGGCGTGGCCTTGTTGGAGTAGGTGTGGCCTTGCTGGAGGAAGTATGTTACTATGGGAATGGGCTTTGAGGTCTTATATGCTCAAGCTATGCCCAGTGTGGCACAGAGTCTCCTGCTGCCCGTAGATCAAGATGTAGAACTCTTGGCTCCTCCAGCATGTCTACCTGCATGCTGCCATGGTTCCTGCCATAGTGATAATGGATTAAATCTCTAAAACTGTAAACCAGCCCCAATCAAATGTTTTTCTTTGTAAAAGTTGCTGTGGTCATGGTGTCTCTTCACAGCAAAGAAACCCAAATTAAGATAGTATGTATGTATGTAGGTGTCTGAGTTATATACACATGATTGTTAGTGTCCAAAGAGGCCAAAGGCATTAGATTCCCTAAACTGAAGTTACAGGCAGTTGTGAGTTGTTTAATATGGATGCTGGTAATTGAATTCAGGTTCTCTGAAAGAGCCGTACATGCTCTTAACTTGTGAGCCATTTCTCCAGCCCCAACACTTTCTGTTTTACAGCTTTTAGAAAAATCACTGGGCTGGGCAATGGTGGCACACGCCTTTAATCCCAGCACTTGGGAGGCAGAGGCAGGCGGATTTCTGAGTTCGAGGCCAGCCTGGTCTACAGAGTGAGTTCCAGAACAGCCAAGGTTACACAGAGAAACCCTGTTTCGAAAAAACCAAAGAGAAAAGAAAGAAAGAAAGAAAGAAAGAAAGAAAGAAAGAAAGAAAGAAGGAAAGAAAGATCACTGTATTATGAATTTTTATTTCCCCTTTTCTAGATGCTTTAATTGTCACAACTAGGAATATTTTTTTAAGGTTTATTTATTTATTTTATGTATATGAGTACACTGTCTTCAGACACACCAGAAGAGGGCATCAGATCCCATTAGAGATGGTTGTGAACCACCATGTGGTTGCTGGGAATGGAACTCACG